AATTAACTGGGAGACACTGGGAGTGACTGGGAAAGGCAATGGGCAGCTCCTGGAATTAACTGGGAGATGCTGGGAGTAACTGGGAAAGGCAATGGGCAGCTCCTGGAATTAACTGGGAGCGACTGCAAAAGGCTGAGGGAACTGGGAAGGACTGGGAAAGGCTGAACTCTGCACGTGGGCAAACTGGGCAGAACTGGGAAAAGGCCGTGTGGCAAAACCAGAGGGATGAACTGGAAAAGCCCTGGGGTGAACTGGGAGAACTGGGCAGAGCTGGACTCAGTCCCAGGACCCCCGTGGGCTCCCCTGAGACCACCAACTGGTTTGACTGGTGGAACTGGCCGGGCCCCAGCGGCGCCTCCCGCCCTTATCACGTCTGGCGGGGCCTTATCAGGACCTGGAGTAGGAGGGGGGGGAGAGGGGGGGACCCTGGAACAGGGGAGGGGAGGGGGCGTCACCCAGGGACCCCCCCACACTGCGGGAGGGGCGGGGGGCAGGGGGAGGGTCTGGGTACTGTGGGAGGGGGGTCTGGGTGCTGTGGGAGGGGTCTGGGTGGTCTGGGAGGGGGGGTCTGGGTACTGTGGGAAGGGTCCTGGTGCTGTGGGAAGGGTCTGGGTGGTCTGGGAGGGGGGTCCGGGTGCTGGGGGGGGTCTGGGTGCTCTGGGAGGGGGGTCTGGGTGCTGTGGGAGGGGGTCTGGGTGCTCTGGGAGGGGGGTCTGAGTGCACCAGGTGGGCGCTGTGGGAGTGGGGACGGGGTCCAGCCAGGGGGATTTGGGTGCCACGGGATTGGGGTGCCCATCCAGCAGGAGGGATCAGAGTGCCAGTGGGATCAGGGTGCTGACAGGGTCAGGGTGGGTGCTGGTGTGATTTGGGTGCTGACAGGGTCAGGGTGGGTGCTGGTGTGATTTGGGTTCTGACAGGATTTGGGTGCTGACAGGATCAGGGTGGGTGCTGGTGTGATTTGGGTGCCAGGAGGATTTGGGTGCCAGTGTGACTTGCCCACCAGCATGATCGTGGTGCCAGCACCGCCCCGGTGCCGTGCCCACCCCAAACCCCCCTTCTCCACCCCACAGGTGCCCCATGAAGCCCGTGCCGCTCTCCCGCCTGCTGCTGCTGCCGCTGGTGGCAGCGCTGGCACTGCTGGCGCTGCGGGATCAGCACCAGCGCCCGCCCACCCAGCCCGACCCCCCGGCGACCCCCAGCCCGACCCCCCATCCCCCGCCCCGCAACGACACGTCCCCCACGCGTCACCCGCTGCAGCCGCCGTACCCGCACCCCTACAAATTCCTGCTCAACCACCCCGACAAGTGCCGGGCGCGGGCGCCCTTCCTGGTGCTGCTGGTGGTGTCGGCGCCGGCGGACGTGGCCGCACGGGACGCCGTGCGCCGCACGTGGGGCAACGAGAGCTCGGTGCCGGGGGCGCCGCTGCTGCGGCTCTTCCTGCTGGGCGCCCACCCCGTGTTCGACGCCGCGCTGCGCCCGGTGCTGCGCGAGGAGGACGAGCTGCACGGCGACCTCCTGCAGCAGGACTTCCTGGACACCTACAACAACCTGACGCTCAAGACGCTCATGGGGCTGGAGTGGGTGAGCCGCTTCTGTCCCGACGCCAGCTACGTGATGAAGGCCGACACCGACGTCTTCCTCAACCTGGAGTTCCTGGTGCGGCGGCTGCTGGTGCCGCCCCAACGGGACTTCGCCATGGGCTACGTGTACCGCAACACGGGCCCGCTGCGCAGCCGCGCCTACAAGTGGTTCGTGCCGCGCGAGGTCTACCCCAACGACACCTACCCGCCCTACTGCGGCGGGCCCGGCTACGTGCTCTCGGGGGACGTGGCGCGGAGGGTGTTCGGCGCGGCGCAGACGGTGCCGCCCATCAACATGGAGGACGCGTTCGTGGGGCTGTGCCTGCGCGCGCTGGGGCTGCGCGTCCGCGACGGGCCCCCGGGAGCCTTCGCCATGTACCGCCTGCCCTACGACAAGTGCCGCTTCCAGCGCCTCGTCATGGTGCACCACTATGCGCCGCAGGACCTGCTCCGGGTCTGGCCGCACTTCAGGGACGCCCCCGTGGAGTGTCCGTAGGGGTGGGAGCTGCCGGTGAAGGTGGGAACTGCTGGGGTCACCAGGAAACGCTGGTGGCACTGGGAACTGCTGGTGGCACTGGGATCCACCAGTGTCACTGGGAACTGCTGGGGTCACCAGGAAACGCTGGTGGCACTGGGAACTGCTGGGGTCACTGGGAACTTCTGGTGGCACTGGGATCCACCAGTGGCACTGGGAACTGCTGGGGTCACCAGGAAATGCTGGTGGCACCAAGAACTGCTGGTGGCACTGGGAACTGCTGGTGACACTGAGATCCACCAGTGGCACTGGGAACTGCTGGGGTCACTGGGAAGTTCTGGTGGCACTGGGAACTGCTGGAGTCACTGGGAAGTTCTGGTGGCACTGGGAACTGCTGGTGACACTGAGATCCACCAGTGTCACTGGGAAACGCTGGTGGCACTGGGAACTGCTGGAGTCACTGGGAACTGCTGGTGGCACTGAGAACTGCTGGTGGCACTGGGATCCGCCAGCGTAACTGTGAAATGCTGGGGTCACCGGGAAACGCTGGTGACACTGGGAACTACCAACGTCACTGGGAACTGCCTGGAGCCAGCGGTGTCACCGGGACCTGCCAGCGTCACCAGCCACAGACTGTGCCCGGACCCGGCTCCGGAGCAGCCACTGAACTGTTTTTATGGATAAATCAGGGCCGGGATCTGTCCCGTTAATTTATAGCCAATGTTTGTAATAAAAGGGCTGGAACCACCCGGAGCTTTGTCCGTTCCTGGATCCGGGCTGGGAAGGGGCCCCGGTGGTGGAAACGCGCCACGTTCCGGGCAGAGTTCCCAGTGTTTGCCAGGACAGGCCTCGTTCCAGGCGGCATTCCTGGTGTTTTCCAGGCTGTGCCTTGTCCCAGGCAGCATTCC